AAAAAAAAAAAAATAAAAGTTGCCGCAGAGAAGATAGTTATGTACTTACTAGGGTTCTGGGGTGAGGACTATGTGTTTAAACCTCAGGAGATGATTAGCACAACTTCTTGCCCACAGTACGAGTGTCAGTTGTATGGAAATGGAGCCCACCTGGCATCTCTCCAGAATGCAAAGGAAGCCAACATCGTAGCGAAGTATATAAGTGGCTACCAAAAAACCAAGCCTGTATGGATCGGCCTGCATGACCCACAAAAGGTAACCTCAGACTTGGCCCACACGTGTCCCATTGGGAGAGCCAGATAGATGGTGCCTGCATGGGAAATAGCTTCCAGGCCTACTGACGGAGGCACAGGGAGTGAATCTTTTTCAGTTACTGCCTCCAACCAACAGAGGCCAAAGCCTCAAGGTCTAGGTCTCAGTTCTGGCCCTCAATGGAGGAAATTATTTCAATGGCATCACTTTGTAGAACTTCTACCTAATTAAAGTCCTCCCAAATCTTAGAACACAAAATGACCGGCTTTTCACAGCCTAAAAAAAAGTTATGGGGCTCAGTCAGTTGGGCATCCAACTCTTGACTTCGGCTCAAGTTAGGACCTCATGGTTCCTGAGGTGGAGCCCCACATCAGGCTCTGCACTAACAGCATGGAGCCTGCTTGGGATTCTCCCCCCCACACCCTTCCCCTGCATCTGTTCTCTCTCTCTTTCAAAATAAATAAGTAAACATTTTTTTTAAGCTGTGTAAGCATATATAGATATATACACGTATATGAAAACATACACACACATACACACACATACATGCACACACATCTGTTAAGGAATGTAGCTTAATTAAATTCCCATTAGATCTTGAGTTAAAGTTGGGAACTTTCAGCCAAGCTTTTTCCTAGATGCTATTATTTTTTTTCATGTTACCCATGACTTTTTTTTTCACTAGACCTTCGTTTTAATCCCCATCAGTACCTCATTGTAAAGAATGGTATGTGAGGTCTTTGGGCTGGGTGCCGAGGTCCCTCTGTGGGAGCTGCAGTTTACAGATTCTTCGTGGGAATCTTCTATAGTTAACCCAAACAAACATAAGGAACACCAGAAAAGAACCCCCAGACTTTCTGTTTCTTGATAAAACTTCGCCATAGATGTTGCAAATAATTTATACAATTAATTACACATTTTTATGTATTTACATTGCTGTCAATCAACTCTCTTCTTCAGAGTTAGGACAAATATTTACATCTATTTATACAATTGTGGGGGTATTTAATTTTCTACATTCATAACTGAAGAAAGTAAGTGGCTAATAAAGTCCTTAAAAATGTGTAATGTCTCTAGTTATCAAAGATGCAAATTAAAATAGAAATATAATTTGACTTATCAGATTATCAGACTTTTGCTTTGTCTTAATGAATAATATTTTTAAGGACGTAAAGACATTGTCCAGTAGATGGAAAGCAGTTGGGCCATGCATATCAGTACCCTCAAAATATTCACATCCTTTGACCCATTAACTCCACTTCTGGGTTTTTATCCTAAAAAAATAAGTTTAAGTACAGAAACAGCTTCAGGAGCAAAGTAGTTCATAGCGGTATTCTTTATAATCATTGTAAATTAGAAACAACATAAACATCATCAATACCATTAAGGTAAATTATAGTGCACCATGACCATTTAAAAATGTTTTGAAAGCAAGATACACAGTTGAGTATGTATTTTTAAAGACCACCACCTATTTTAGTCCATAAAAAGATCGTGATAAATAACAATGTTTACACCAGAAGTAACTATGCCAAAATCAATAGTAATGTTTTCCTCTTTAAATGGGGTGACTTTTCTCTTTTTCATTCTGTGCACATCCCTGTGCTTCTTGTGATGAAAGATTTTTACGGGTTTTCAAGGGGCCTGAGAGGACCGCCTGGCTGTGAGCAGGTGCACAGGCTGACTGTCTTCCATCTGTGGTCACTTGCAGAGCCAGAAGTGGCAGTGGATCGATGGGGCCTTCTATTTGTACAGAAAGTTGTCGGCCAAGTCCGCAGGTGGGAACAAGTACTGCGTGGAGCTGAACTCCAGGGAGGGTAAGATCCGCCGCCCACACCCCCCCCCCCCCCCCCCCCGCCGGCCCCATTTCACACCAGCAGCTCTGTTTCCCACAGGATAGTGGCCTTGCCACAGACATTATTTACCAACCCACAGTCATTTGTGATCATTTTACAATCTTCGCCATATCCATAGACCAACTATTCTTAATATCTTCTTTAAAATACACTCACTTTTTTTCTTAAATACACTTACTTTTACTTTTATTTACATTTTATTTATTTATTTTGAGAGAGAGAGAGTGAGAGGGGGAGGGCCAGAGAGACAGAGAGAGAGAGAAAGAGAGAGAGAAGGAGGGAGGGAATCTTAAGCAGGCTCTGCACTGTCAGCACAGAGCCCGATGCAGGTCTCGAGCCCATGAACCGTGAGATCGTGATCTGAGCCGAAACCAAGAGTTGGACTCTTAATCGACTGAGCCTCCCAGGGGCCCCAAATACATTTATTTTTAAATCCTATTGTGTACATATGAAGGGGAAAGATGTCACATTTTGGGAAACCCAGGCTACAGGAAAGAAATACATATAACTTCTTTCTGAATTCCTTCTAGTTTGGGTTCCCCACGAGCCCTGGGAACCTCATCTTTGCCTGCCTGCTGCCCTCTTGTTTGTTTCCCTGAGTTTTGTTCCCAAAATGCAGGGCCCAGAACCTTAGCTCTAGGCTGCACACAATCACTTGAGTCTCCTCGTTTTTCTTGTCTTTCATTCCTCGCTTTTTATGCTAATAACTTCCAGTTTTCAACTTTTGTACCAATGACATTTGGGGCTGGATAATTCTTCGTTGTGGGAGCTGTCCTGTTCGTTGTAGGTTCAGGATATCCTGGTCTTCAATCTTCAGAGATCAGTAGAACCACTCCCCCACCACAGGTTGTTACAACCAAAAATGTCTCCAAATGTTGCTAAATGTCCCCTGGGGGCAAAATTGCTAGCATTTGAGAACACCGAGATTAAGTGATGTGAAAAGTCTTCTGCTGTAAAACAAGAAAACAGAATAGCAAAGAGAAAGAGGCTATTTGATGCCGAAGACAACATCCTAGTGGGTTTAAAAGGCCATCATGGTGTCACCAGGACACCCCTCCTAGGCCGGAAGTGGGCCTGGGAAAGGCCTGGACTGAGGACTCAGGAACATGACGCAGGGTGGCTGTTGTCTGGGGAATAAAGCTTTTATATGCACAAAAAAAGAGTGTGAAAATTTTCCAACAGCAAAAGATGAATGGTAGAAATAAGGTAACAAACTCTGAGGCCAGGTCGAGACCCTTTGCAATAAGAGGGTCTCCTCACGGGCAAAGGAAGGGCTTCCCAATGACTTGTAGAGCCCACAGCCGCTGCTGGGAAAGGCATAGACAGCTCAGATGGAAGGAACACAACCAAGACCAATAGGTAGAAACTGGTAATACGTGGCTTTCTATCTAAATTAAGGGGGGGAAAGTTTAACAATTAGCACTATCCAAAACTAGAATGTGCAGGAAGCAGTGAGAACCCCATCACTAGAATTAACCAGGCAAAAGTGGACATTGTAGTTGCAGTACCAAAAGCGTAAGAAGAGGAGCACATGGCACATGAAGGAATCAATCGAGGAACACTTTTGAAGTATAAATTCCAGGGATCACTTTGGACCTACAGCATCAGAATCTCTAAGGCTGGAGGCCAGTCCAGCTTTGGGGAAGCAATGGACTAGACACCTTTCAGAGTGCTTCCTGTGATTCTGAGATTTCAACTGGACCAACTTCTCAAACACAAGTCTTTCCCATCAGTCCGTGTTCACATGGGCAAAATCCCAGGAACGAAGCCACCTGTGTGGGAACTGGAAGCCTGATGTCTTCCTGAGAACTAGCTCTAGGTCTTTCAGACTCTCTTCCTTTTCTGGGTTCACTCAGCCCAGCTCTTAGGTACCAGAATACAGGTACTCAAGCCAGAAAAGCACAAGGAATGAAACAAGGATTAGCAAGAAACTGGTGGAAGGTAGAATTTTAGAGAGCCTTCCCTTGGCCCTGTCAGTGTCATTTTCTATTTGTGTAACAGATTTAGCCCCGCCAACTCAGTGGCTGAATTGTTTCCTTCAGACCCAAAAGGTATGGTATTAATGTCCCCAAACACTGCCACACACATGTCCTGTGTGTGGCTAGACCTGTTCCTTTTTTATGTCTATTTAGAAAGACCCTCAGAGGCCATTTTGTCTGGTTGGTTCTTTCACCCCCTCTGACTCCTTTTCTGCACCACGGCGAAACTTGCTTGTGACTCTCTGACAAATTGCACGTACAGTGCTTTCTGACAACTCTACTGGTCCTCTCTGACACATTTTAAAATGTAGTGCTACAATTTAAACGGAAACTTCAGGGGCACTTGGGGGGCTCAGTTGGTTGAGCATCCAACGCTTGATTTTGGCTCAGGTCACGATCTCACCATGGTGAGATGGGAGCCCTGAGGCAGGCTCCACGCTAGCACGGAGCCTGCTTAAGATTCTCTCTCCATCTCCTTCTGCCCCTCCCCTGTATGCATGCTCTCTCTCCCCCTCTTTCTCTCTCCCTGTTTCTCAAAAATAAGTAAACAGAAATTTCATATTCAATGGAGTTGGAGTCAAGACCATGGGCTCTGCCTTTGGAATGCCTGGGGTGGGATTCCAGTTCCTCCAGTTAGCTCTGTGACCCTGAGCCAATTTCCTACTTCTCTGTGCCTCAGTTGCCTCTCCACAGAAAGGGAAAACCAAGAGTACTAATCACCTGAACACATATATGTGAAGTGCTTATCCCAGTCAGGGTAGACTCATGGTTCTCCGACCTGGAGGGGAGGGGTATGGTCTACACACACCTCTCTGGTGTAAAGGAATGGAGGAGGAGAGTGCAATCAGACTCCTCCCTAGGTTGGTGCCCATGGGGGAGCTGCCTGCGTTCTTGATTATTTGAAGCCTGGAGCCGTGTTCTCCCGGCCCCACACCTTGTCAGTACCTAGAACTCGTCGTCTCCATATCATTACTCTCTGTGGCCCGGCTCTGGTTGCCATGGACATGGGCATGGGCTGGCCCCATCCTCTCTACCTCTGGAGACCTCTGAAGGGGAGGTGGCACACCTTCCCCCAATTTGCCTGGCAGTGCCCTCTGTCCCCGGGGCTCTCATCCCACCAACACACACTGGCCCCAGGGCAGGACGCACAGGTCAGAGCCAAGCGGACAGACGTCTAACGACTCACCACTCTGCTGCCCACACCGCAGGGTGATAAGCAGATCTGTGGACGGCCCTGGTGGGCCCTGTCCACAAAAATACTTCCGTTTCCAAGATCACCTGCTCCTTGCCGTCAGTCCTTCTTTATAAAGGGGTGGCCTGTGGGACGTGACTGACTCAGCAGCTTCCAGTCCTCAGCTGCGGACTTTGGAAAAACCACCTCCGCATCCTCGCAGCCTCCTGTTACAGACACAAAAGAACCCCGCTTTTACATCCAGCTCTGTCTTCCCCTCCGAAGTTTCACTGGCATGGGGCTTCTGCAATTGTGCCTGACGTTTACATTATTTTTCTTTCCGTGAACAAAGTTAGTGCTGGTATTCGTCAGAGAAACAGAAGTAATTGGATGTATACGGAGAGAGATAGATTTCTTTTAAAGTGGCTCCCAGGCGCCTGGGTGGCTCGGTCAGTTAAGCATCTGACTTTGGCTCAGGTCATTGATCTCAGGGTTCGTGAGTTCCAGCCCCACATCGGGTGAGCTCGAGCCCTGCTTTGAGTGAGCCCCACTTCTCTCCCTCTCTCTCCCTCTCTCTGCCCCTCACTCACTTGCACCGTCTCTCTCAAAAAAAAAAAAAATAAAAAGGCTTTTGTGATTGTCGGGCCAGCAAAGCTGACATGCACAGGGCAGGCTACGGACTGTGAGTTCCCACATGCATTGATGTCACAATCCTGAGGCCAGGGCACTTTGGAAGCAGAATTCCTTGCTCTTTGGGAAAACTTGGTCTTTTCACTGATTGGATGATTACCTACATTATGGAGGGTAGTCTGCTTCACTCATTAAATTTTCTCATTACTAGTTTAAATACTAATCACATCCCAAACAAATCACCTCTGCAGCAACACGTAGACTGGTGTTTGACCCAACGCCTGGGCCCACCTCCTAGCCCAGTCCACGCATGAAATTAAGCATGGCAGTGCACTTCCCAGGGTTCCAAGCAAGAGACCCAGGGAACGCTGGTAAGTGCAATATAGAACTGGAGGGATTTGAACGTCTGTTTATTTTCTTGCAGACTTTTTAACTTGGAGGAGCAACGAATGCAGCACGCACCAGCACTTCCTGTGCAAATACCGAGTGTAGAGCACGAATCAAGGCCGCGCTCACCCCACACACGCCCCTGCCCTCCTCCCTCTGTGCATGCCGGCTGCGTCTGATCATTGTCTCAGAGCAAACACGGCAACTGAGGCTGATCGGCCCTGTCACACTCACTCTTTTAGGTTTATTAGCATCCGAGGCCTCAACACTGTATGACAGTGGCTTCTATGACAATTACAGGAAATGTGGCTTTGGTGCGATCTCGTTTGCATTTCTTAGAAGCACCCCCAGAGAGGAGAGGAAGTGTGGCTGGGCCGCCCACGCAGTTCTGGATGTGTGGATGGCCATCGGCTTCCCCCACGGTGCTGTGCCAACCGGTCAACACAGAGTCTTATGCCAGAACCCGAGAACACCCCCCTGCACCCCTGTGACCTTAGGAGCCCAAGACAGGCTAAGAAGCTGGCTCGGGGAAGGGTGCAGCGAAGGGAGGGGGAGTGAACAGACAGCGCGCTGGCCCTCCTGCCCCCTTCCCCACTTCTTCCTTCCTCCCCCCACACCCTTGTCACTCTTTTGGAAGCCAGAGGAAGACATCAGAGATAACGTATTGCTTCCTCTAAGCACGAAAAAGCTTGTTAACCCAAAGGATAAATGTCTTCATGGTGGGAGTCCAGGCAAGATGATCGGATGGAAAAGGGTCATTCTTTGGAAGCTGATAGGTCAGCAAAAAGCAACCACCAACGCCTTCGAGGGTTCTGGGGAGCCACTGTTGGAGAAACAAACAAAGGTATCAGATTCTTTGACCGAGATGGTAAGATAAATCAGGAATGCTAGACAGCCAGGGGCCATGTACGAAAATCATTGGGGCAAGTGCCAGATTCCGTGGTATTTCCTGTAAGAACTAACAGAATGTGAAGGAAACATGGATCACAATATCCCCAAAAGGTAGAGGTTCCCAACGTCTTCTGACTATGGCCCACCTACCTCCCTAATTCATTCATACTCTCTGGAGGAAAAGGAGCTCATGATGGCAGAGAAGTAAAGAGAAACAAAATAAAAATCCAAGAAGGGATGAATAACAGATGTACCAACACAAAACAAAGTAAAATCTAATAGTCATTCTGTAAATACATTAAACATATGTAACAGCTCCACCTGAAGAGCAACACCAACCTAAAATACTCTTTAAAAAAAAATTTTTTTTTTAATTTTTTTTTTTCAACGTTTATTTATTTTTGGGACAGAGACAGAGCATGAACGGGGGAGGGGCAGAGAGAGAGGGAGACACAGAATCAGAAACAGCCTCCAGGCTCTGAGCCATCAGCCCAGAGCCTGACGCGGGGCTCGAACTCACGGACCGCGAGATCGTGACCTGGCTAAAGTCGGACGCTCAACCGACTGCGCCACCCAGGTGCCCCCCCAAAAAATTTTTTTTTAATGTTTATTTATTTTTGAGAGAGAGAGAGAGAGAGGGAAGGGGCAGAGAGAGGGAGACAGAATCCGAAGCAGGCTCCAGGCTCCCAGCTGACAGCAATGAGCCCGACGCAGGCCTGGAACTCACAAACTGTGAGATCATGACCTGAGCCGAAGTCAGATGCTCAACTGACTGAGCTTCCCAAGTGCCCCCACCTGAAACATGTTTGGTGATGTAGCGAAAACGAAGCACCCTCTCTGAAATTGCTGACATGCCAACAAGCCGCGTGTACGTGTGCACAGCGTGTGCTTCGCGACTTTCGCAAATAAGGATGGGCAGCTGCTTGTCTTATTAGAAGGCTGGTCCTTGGTTAACTTTGGAAAATCAGTGTGTGCTGATTTGTGCATATCGCATTTTAGTAATCTTCATTCATTGGGTAGATATATCACTACATCATTCAACAAAAGTTTATTGAATGCATGCTATGTACTAAGAACTCATTTCAGGGACTGCGAATCGATCAACGGACAAACCAGATAAATTCCTTGCTGTTAGCATACCGTTCGGCAGGGGTGAGGAGTGGAGGTAGAAACACAATTAACTAAGTAAATAATGTTGTATGAGAAGGTGACAGGTGCTATGATGGGAATACAAAGCCAGGAAGAGGGGATGGGGACTGGGCCTGTGTGGACTATGTACGGAATAATTAGCGTGCTTTTGGTCACAACTGACAGCCAGGCTGTCTAAGCAAGACAGAGAATTTATTGGTATATGTTACTCTATGGTCCATGACTAGATTTGGGCTTCAGGCATAGCTTGACCAAGGGCTCAACAAAGTCACCAGCATAGGGTTTTCTCTTTGCATTATTTTTGACCTTTGTTTTGCTGAGTATTAACCCCATTATCAAGCCCCATCGAATTGCAAGAATGGTTGTGGCAGTTCCCATCCTTACCTTATGAAAAAAGAGACCCCACAGCCCTCAAACGGAAGCCTCTAACCTAAGCCTCATTGGCCAAGAATCTCCTGACATGGGTTATGTGCTCAGTCCTCAACTAATCACTATGGCTAGGAGGGTGGGATGTGGTGATTAATTCCGCAAAGGGACAGCACACGTGACTCCCCTGGAGCTCAGGGGTTAGCCAGCTTCCCCTGAAGGACAGGCCACCACTGGCAGACACAGTGTCTTTGTGGGAACTGAGAAAGGAAGACACAGCCTCATGGACCCACAGGACAAAAGCAGGTTGGAATTCAGCCTTGACCTGCCCCCTTAGTTGTGTACTTGTGTGCAGTGCACCAGCCACACAACCCTCCTCTGTGGCCCTGACACGTGACACATATGTGCAAGGGGAGTCTCCACCTGGGGGCCGAGGGCCATCCTTTTGGAAACTGTCCAAAGGCTGCATGGCAGGACTTAAGAATCAGGTGTCTGAACTAAGACTGGAAAAGCATCTGATTCAAGAAAGATAACAATCAGGCGGATATTGTTTCCCAAGATGTGCTCAGTGACATAAGACTCCAGCCACAGCCTGTGGTGAATTACTACAGCGGGAAGAGCAAAGCGCTTGGAATTAAGCCCCCGGCATCTGACCGACCCTGCCTCAAAATAGCTGCATTAACATGGAGCCTAAAGTCTCTGAGCCTTCACTTTCTTCCTCAGGAATTTGAGGATTAAGTTAGCTAAAATATGTAAAGAGTCTGGAATGAGGTCTGGCCTAAGAGCTTAACAAATGTCATTGTTCTCTGTGAACGTCACATGAGATGTCCTAAGTAGCTGCTTGCTTGCCGCGACACAAACTAGCGCCCTCTGCTGGAGCGTGGGAGGACAGCTGTAGAGGAAAGACCTTGGATTCCAGAAAGTTCTGTGGATGTCTGCCTGGCTGTGGACAAGCACATAGGAGGCAATACAGACACAGGATAGTGAAGGAGGTGCACACCAAGCACTAACTTAAAAATTTAATACACATTTCCATCAGACTTACTATAATAGGTGAAGTCTTTGCATTCACTACATGAATAAAGATAGAGGAGAGTAATCTGAGGGCATTTAGATTAAGCCAGAAACCATTTATTTTAAGGGTAAATATAGGTAGCAATCTTTCTTTGTGATCTTGGGTTAGATGTATTAGGACACAGAAAGCAAAAACCAAAAAAGAAAAAAACTGAGAAACTACTTCAAAATATAATCCAAAAGAACAACAAAACAAAATGTGATACAACTATACATCCTCTTGAATGGCTAAAATTAAAAAAAAAAAAATTTTAATGTTTATTTATTTTTGATTGAGAGAGAGAGAAAGAGCACAAGTGGGGAAGGGGCAGAGAGAGAGGGAGACACAGAATCCGAAGCAGGCTCCAGGCTCTAAGCTGTCAGCACAGAGCCTGACACAGGGCTCTAACCCATGAACAGAGAGATTATGACCTGAGCCGAAGTTGGAAGCTTAACCGACTGAGTCACCCAGGTTCCCCTAGAATGGCTAAAATTTTAAAGACTGATAATACTGGGGCACCTGGGTGGCTCAGTCAGTTAAGCCTCCTACTTCGGCTCAGGTCATGATCTCACAGTTCATGAGTTCGTAGCCCCGCGTCTGGCTCTGTGCTGACAGGTCACAGCCTGGAGCCTGATTTGGATTCTGTGTCTCCCTCTCTCTCTGCCCCTCCCCTGCTTATGCTCTGTCTCTCTCTTTCAAAAATAAATAAAGATTAAAAAAGGAAAAGACTGATAATACCAAGCACTGGTGAGGAGTCACAGCAGCCAGAAGCCTCAAATATACATAGCTACAGGAATGCAAAAGGGTCCCTCTGGAAAAAAGTTTGGCAATTTCTTATAAAAAGTTAAACAGACTTACCATAGGACCCAAAAGTCCTTTCATGGCCATTTACTTAATAAGAATAATGAGAACACGTGTGCACAGAAAGACCTATACACAGTTATTAATTATATTTTATTTTGTGATAGTTTGATTCATAATAGTGCAAAACCAGAAAGAAACCCAAAGGTTTTGACTCACCTACTGGACCTACTGGTGAATGGATAAACAAACTGAGGCAGATCCACACAATAGAAAACTGCTCGGTGATAAAGGGGAACCAACTATGGATACACATAATGGGGACAGATCTCAAAAATTATGCACATACAAGAAGTCAGACACAAAAGACCACATACTGTAAGAATCTACGTATCTGAAACCCTAGAAAAGGCGAAACTACAGTGACAGAGAGCAGAGCAGTGCTGGCCAGCAGCTGCACACGGGAAGGGGGTTGGCTGCAAAGGACCATGGGGGAATGCTTTGGGGTGATGGAAATGTTCCAGATCACAGCTGCTGTGGTGGTCACACAACTGTGTACAGTTGTCACCCCATGACACTGTGCACCTAAAAAGGGTGAATTTGATGTATGTAAATTACCTCTCAATAAAACTGACCTAAAGTTATAGGAAAACTTTCCCAAAAGGGATGGAAAAGATTCACCCAGAAAGCATTTTCAGTGACTTCTCTGCTTCTGGAGAGCAAATACATGTCTGTTTTGAAAAACCTTAAATCTAAACCTATTTAGGGGCACCTGGGTGGTTCAGTCAGTTAAGCGTCCGACTTCGGCTCAGGTCATGATCTTGTGGTTTGAGAGTTCGAGCCC